GAGAGAACTCTGGAAATACGAAATGCTGATGACCTCACTTATGCTTTACAATTGCACCGAATTTTTGTTTTCTCCATTCCACTACTGTATGCTATGATAATCACTCTCCTCAACACAATACTTGACCCCATGCAGTAATAGTGACGTGCTTATTCACAGACCCTGTGGGAAGTATTTAAACTGCTCTGAGCATCAGCAAAAAACAAAAGGTTCTTTTTAATCCTTGAGTTTATTATAAGTTTAACACTAATTAGATTTACCTGATGTTAGGAAATAACTGGGGTCCTTTAACAATTAATAATCCAAGGAGTAATAATCAGAGGGTTGAGAAGAGAAGCCTAAAATGTGTTTTCTGATGGGCTAACTTAAGTGACTTAGCTAATTGAATACAAACTATATAATCAGAGCTAAATTTAAGCCTCATGTCCCACGTGATTTTTACTAGTAGATTAATATGAATAGCCTATCCTTAAAGAACTCTCCTCCCTATGCACATACTTGCCCCTTAGTGAGCTTCATCATGCCAAGATTCATGTCATCATCATTATAGCTCTACCACATTGTAAAAATTCAGTGGGTTTTGTCAAACCAGGATAACAAACCTCTCAATGTGTTGAAACAGTTGGTAGCCAATACATGCATGGAGTAAGTTATGCATAGAGATTAGTAATAATAATTACACACAAAGTCATATATACACATGCAATCTTTTTCAGGACTGGTTTGCCTGAAATCCTGGTATCACGGAATGTCAGATGATTTTAAAATGTGATTAGCTGAGCCTCCTGAGTGAAAAGACAGTAAACTGGCAGAGAAATGGGCATAATATGATAATTTAACATTCTACATTTTGCTAGCTATATAGTGTCATCCTTGGGGTTAACAGATGCCAGCATGCCTAGATCAATTAATTAGAGAGCACCACCTCCCACAGCTTCCTTGATGAAAACTAAATAACCCAACAGAATGTTGATAATGGCAGGATTTTGCTAAATATTCACATTTTAGTTTTGAGTATTCACATTTAAAATGTAGGAACCTAAAAATATACACAAACCAAATGCTGATGTATAACAGGACTTACATTTATGATTTCCTTACTGCATCTGGTAACTGCATGTTATTAACTATACTTGGCACAATTTGATACAGCTTGACATACTTGGGGATTTATTAAAATGTAAATGACAAAGCAGGAAAGAATGTTCAGACAATTGGATTACTCCATTGACTGAATGCTCCAATACAGTATCTATTTTTGTCAAAGCAATGCTGGCTCCTGCTGTGGAATGTTGAATAGAATATTCCATGGCAGGATACAGGGAGAACTTAAATGAAGGAAATTGAAACCTAATCATTGAATTTTTAATTCACCTCTCTAAAAGCAACAGATTTCCAATACTTTTTAAAAAAAAATTATGATAATGTTGGCACATGATTATTGAAAGATTATCATTCACAATTATGTATTCAGCACCTATTATTGGATCTATAACTTTATTCATGAAAATAATGGCACATTTGCTTGTTTTTGCTCTTGGTCTTATTTTAGTTATGAACGTTATTTGAAGAGCATGGATATATGTAACATGACAGTGAATATGCACAACCCAAAAGAGACATTTTCCTGATGGGCACTGTTATTATTTATTCCAGAGAAGAGAAGGTTGGAAGGTAGGTGTCTCTAAGGAGTTGAAAGGATTGAGTTTAGAGAGAATGGAGACCAGCTGTTCTTTCTCTCCACAAAGAACAAGAGAAAATGGGATTAAATGACAGCATGAACGATTTGGGATAGAAAAAAACAGAATTTCCTGACTGTATAAGTTCTCAAACACTGAAATGCATTTTGAAGGAAGTGTGTGAACATTAGTTTTATTTTGATGCCTTAAAAAAAAAAATAGAAATGTACATGTTCACTATGTGGTCTTATATGGATGAAGAGTGGACTAAATGGTTCCTGGTTCCTGGATTCTCTTGATCTATGAGTGGAATCTAAAAATGTGAGGTGGTAGTAGTTAAGAGAGCAACTATTTTTTATGGTAGCTATTTTTCAAAGCCAGCTTTTCTTATGAGGACAGACTGGAAATTTTTACCTGTACTATGAGATGTTAATCTGAATGGAATACCATGTAATAAATTGGGTGAGAACAAAGAATAAATATTGGAGCACAATGTACTCTTATTTTTTCTTCCCACTACCATTTCTGCTATTGAGTAGTTCAAGTTTAAAGGCAAAATGTCCTTAGTTACGTGTGAAGTTTAACATGTGTATATTGATTTTTGAATTTGTAAGAACGTGGTTAGAGCTCGTGAGGAACTGAACTCTTTCTTTACGCGCGCACACACACACACACACACAATGTTGTACATTTTCAAAAAAAATGTTGCACTCTAATAAAATGAATCTATAATCCACATTTATCAGAGAAATTTGAGTACATAGGGTTCAAATTGATCCAAATTCAATTCTTGTTTTAATAAAAGTATAACCACAGTAGATGTTGTCTCTTGGTTTGAGGGCAATTATATTTTCCATTTCCTTGAGAAAGCTCGGGATAGCAATAAAAGTTCTGGGTTAGAGTCAGAAACCGGAGACTGAGTTTTATCTCAGTCCTGATTAACTCACTGTTTGACCTGGACAGCTCAGTGACACTTAAGTATTTGCTTGTATTCTGAAAAATAAAAAGTAAAATGAAGATAGGATAAGCAGATAATTTTAAAGTTTCTTTTTGGTTCTAATAAGCGATCAATTATCAATACTTTCGATTCAATACAATATCAACACAATAACTTTTGAACTCTTGATCTCTGAGCTCACTCTAAGAGCTCACTCGTCCCTATAGATGAATAGTTCTCAGCTTTGGCTAAGCATTATAATCACCTGGCGGGGGATGGGAGGGCTTTAAATAAATCAGAATTTCCAGAACACACCCGACTCAATTATATCAGAGTCTTTTGAGGAAGGACTCGAGTATCAGCATTTTTTAAATTCCTCAAGTAGTTACAATGTGCAGCTAAGGTTGACAGCTCCTGCTTTGGGTATAAGCAGGAAGATATTAACGTTGTTTCACTATGAGCACAAAAATTGTGTCCATCTTGTTCCCTCCTATATCCCCAGAACTTACAAAAGTATCTGGTACATACATAGAAGGTACTCAGGAAATAATAAACATTTTTAGTGAACTCTGGCCAATTCCTAAAAGAAATAGGGCTTATCAAGTCCAGTATTTGCTTTAAGTCCAGTATTTGCTTTGATTATTTTCACTTTGATCTTATTCACTCAATAGGAGCTCAGTTCTCTATTTTTATTTGCCAGTGTAGATAAAAAAAGAAAGTGAAATAATGGGTAATCTTATGGCAGTGATACAATTCAACTATCCTTGGGATGAAAGTAAGGAGATAATCTATCATCACATCCTCTAGAGAACAGGCTCTTTGGAATCTAAAGACATGTTTCCTACATGACTCCACACATCTAGGTGAAAAATAAATTAAATAAATAAATAGATAGATAGATAGATAGATAGATAGATAGATAGATAGATAGATAGAAATAAAATGAAATGTCTAAGTATCTGAGTGTGCCATTCATTCATTCATTCGGCCAGTATTTATAAAGTATTTACATTGTGCCAAGCTCTGCAATAGACTATTGTAGACTTTCTCAGTGAGGGCTTTATGTTAAAATTAAACCTTAATATCCTGGGCATCTTTACATGTAATGAATTAATTTACTTTCTATGCATATAGTATAGTTTAGTTATATATGCATATAGTATAGTATAGTTATATATCATCCCTGAAAAATTTGAGAAAACAGTCACTCAAATAATTTTTTTGCTCTGTGGTTCAGATGACAAATTCCAAATACGAAAGGCTGCATGTATAGAAGATGACAAACAAAACATTAGACTTGTCTTTTAGAACAATATTGTCTAATAAAATTTTCTCAATGATGGAACTGTTTTTTATTTGTGCTGTTTAGGAGTGTGGCCACTAGTCATATGTGGCTCTTGGATTAAGATGTGGCCAGTGTACCTGAAAAATTGAATTTTTAATTTTATTTACTATTATTAATTTAAATTGGAGTAGCCACATATGGCAAGTGGCTGCCCTATTGGACAAAGCAGCTCTAGAATTGCATATTCAAATGGAGAAGACTGTAGCATAAGTTATCATAAGCTAGGTGATAACTGCTAACATGAGGTAAACACAGAATGCTGTGAAAGCACCTATGAGATAAGCTAGTCTTAAGGGTAATGGCAAGATGGTTGAGGCGAAGACTTCCAAGAGAAAAAGACTTGTGGAATGAGAACTGAAGGACAAGAGATGCAATCTTAAAGGGATAGTGGACAGAGTACTAAGCAGAAAGTTTAGATGTATTAGAAAATGCAAAGATAAAGAGAATATTAAGAAATGGTGACGATGCATGGAAAGAATGTAGAAGAGCAGTGGGAAAGAAGTCCTTGATTTTGAGATATTGGGCCAGGATCCAGTATAGGAAAGGCTTTAGGTGTAATGATATTTTAAGGGTAATGGGAAGCCAATGAAAAGTTTGAACCTGTGAATGATATAATCATATTTGTGGTTTAGAGAGATTTCCCTGGTGGCCACTTGGCAGTGAGGAGGGGAAAACTGGAGGCATGATGCAGTAGTCCAGATGAGAAATGAGGATTGTCTTAACTGTAGTCACATATAAAGTGGAGAGAAATAGACATATTTGAAAACAGAAAAAAGAAAAAAATCAAAAGAATTTACCTGATTGACTGCCCATGACAGGTGAAAAGAGAAAAGACAAGGATCCCACCTTGGTTTCTGACTTGGGTAGATAATAGTTATATTTATTAAAAGGCAACATGTGATCATTTAGAAACAGTCTCTAAATTAAAAATTTCCCATTATATTAGATTATTTGCTGCTCATGGATCCTGAAGCTAGCTTTGATATACACTAGTGAAAACAAATTATGATAGTATATTCTTCCAAGGAATCAACACAAATTCACAGTTGATGCAATATTGCTTTTATTGAGGGTTCAGAGGACATATGACAAATCTCATAAAATGTCAACAAAGTCACATTTTGTGCTTAGCTACTCTTTAAAAAAACCTGTTTATTTATAAACTCATTTAATGAGAACTGTATGAGATACAGCCAATAATCATTTTGAAAAGAGAATAACCTGAGCCATGAGGACGTCTAAGTCTGACAATACCAAATTTACAACAGACAAATATTCAGATACTTCCAAACATCTAGATATTTGTCCTTAAGCAGACTCAGCTTAATTCCTTCAAGACATACTTCATTTTGAGTCTCTGTGTTATCCAGCTAACTACTTTATTAATCATTACTAAATACCAACTGAATGCAAAGGGGCTGGTAAAGAAGAGTAAGATTTCCTCAGTTTTAGCTTTTTAAGACTGAAGTATTCTTGAGTTAGTTACATGGATAAGTGAGGATTAAAATAGCAAATAATCATTGATCTATTTAAGAACATAAGGACTACTGAAACAGTCATATATAAATATTTATGCAGAAGCACTTATAAATATATACTGTGCACAAAAATGGTTAATAAAATACCCATTATAAGTTTTGATTTGTTCAGGTGAACTAAGAAATCCAAATAACGTAAGCATATCATTGAGGACATTGTACACATAACTTGGACCATTATGTGTTCTTTGAGGATGGAACACTGACAATTTCTGTATCTAAAGATGTTGGTTCATAGCTAGCTATTTTTCACATTAACATGGGAAGCCAAAGAGGTGCAAAATTGAAGCAATCTACTAGGTACAATGCTCCCAGATCAGATAAAATGTTCTCATTGATCAAATTCAAGTTCATACTTCATTTAGGCAGGGTGGAATAATTGAAGAGCCTCTGATATTAGACTGGACGGCCTGGTTTCTGTACCTAGCTCTGCCACACTTCTGTAAGTGCTCTTCTGTAAGTCACTCTAATTTTATGGATTTATTTTATTTGTAGAAAAGAACATTGCAATAGATGACCTTTAATCTCCCCTACCTCCTCTTTTTTTTCTTTTCAAGGATTTGCAATTTCGAGCAGACCAAAGTAGAGAATCTCAACAGCTTGGCAAAAAACAAACAAACAAACAAAAACCGCGAAATTTCTGATAAGCTCTCTTCCCCAATATTTTAAATTTTCTATCACAAAAATACATTCTAGCATTCAAGTGTAATTTAACCAGAAAACTGAAAAATTAGAGGGAATAATTAAATGAATAGAAGAAGTGATAATATGTGACATTGATTGCAATATTGCGACTTACAGCTTTAGATCATGAGCTTTACAACTGCAATTCTGAATGTGAACCCTGTTTATGGCAATTTGGCAAGTTACCTTATCTTACTAAACTTCAGGTTTTTTTATTTATAAAATGGGAATAATTATACTTATTTTGCAGTTTAAGTGAGTTAATATAGAAAATGCTTAATATATAATGAGAATTCAATAAGTACCAATTGTTATTAGGTCAACAGAAAAATTATAAGTTTTCATATTATTACCAGTCACTTGCTTTAATGGCAAGGAAATACAATAATTCTAGGTGGCATCTGGGATGGGAGAAGGGAAGTATATGTGTAAAGTCTTTACCATATATGTATATATACATTGGCATTAAATGTCTGGAGTGAAGTCAACTTGATGTGTGTATTTGTAATTCCCTAAACTCGCCAGGTAGATTACTTCTTCTATGGTCTTGCTCACACAATACTGCATCTATCTAAAAAAACACTATTTCCTCCTTCCTTTCCATTTATGGCAATTTATCTAAATCGTTAACATCCTTTAAGATTCATAAGATTATAAGATTTATAATTTCTTCCTTAGGGGAATTTTTTCCCTAAACAGACAAGTTCTGCCCAGCTTATGGTGACCTCCCCCAACTACCATGTTTATATCATTTGTTTTGTTTGAGTTTTGGTCTTATTTATTGACCAAATTTGTTAGTTATTTTTTCAAAGGTTTATGTACCTATGTCTAACTAGACTTAAACTCTTCAGAGGCACTGACCACATCTCACAGAATCTAGCTTGCTTAATAAAAAGAACAGTTCATTGGTTGGTATCAGGTGGGATAATGTGGTATTACTACTCTGCATTAAGACTTTCCGCCATTATTTTATCTTTTGGTTTGCCTCTGACTACTTTATTATTTCAAGAACACTTTACAGTATTTAGGTCACTCTTAAGATCAAACTCTGTGTGTGGTTAAATCAATCTACTTATAGCATTAATTTTGTTCCTCAGAACATTAACACATTTGTACAATTTTCTATTTTAAAAATTGGTACATTAATAAGCATATTTATACTAGGAAGAATTTTTTTAAATGAATGTCACACTGAATTTAAATACAAACAGGAATACAATGAGGAAGGGAAAGTCCTTGGCTCATTAAAAATTTGGATGTCATTAAGTTTTTTAGTTTCTTGAAAAAATTGCCTCTTGTTCTGAGAATTCTATGGGCTGAAACTGCACCATTTGGCTGTGTTGCTGAGCAGGAGAAGTATCTTCAGGTGATCTTTGTTTCAACTTCAGAGCTGGCTTGAGCATCCACTGGTGCAGCACTCTCTGCGGTTTTTGGCCTTTCATTGGAGAGACATTCCTGAGGGGGAGTAGCTATAGAATCAGCTGAAAGGAACATCAATACAACTAAAAAAATAACAGAACATGTCACAGAAAGTTATCACATTGACTCTTTAATAAAAAATAAATAAATGTAATGATGCTTTGACGCCACGCTATTTCTAACTACAACTGAAATGCTGCATCACCGGAAAAATGTAGCCCTTTCTCATTGTTCACTTTGCTCAAGAATCAGTGGAGCAACAGCGTTGCTTGAATGTGTGTGAGGGCACCATGCTAACCACTCTGGGAGAAAATGCTCCATAAGACGGATTTATCCAACAGGCAATTTGCTGAAATAGGACACATAGGAAAACAACAAAAGAACACAGAACATTAAGGACACTTTCAAATATCTGAAGACTAAATGCAAAATAAAATAATTGTGGATACATAACTGCTTAACAATGCAAGAGTGAATGAAGTCACTAGAATTGTTAGGAATTAATGTCAATTCCTTGTATTTGTATTTCTAGTATCTGCTCAGAGCATGACACATGGTATTCAATGAAAGAAAGAACAAAAGGAAGGAAGGAAGGAAGGAAGGAAGGAAGGAAGGAAGGAAGGAAGGGAGGGAGAGGGAGGAAAAAAAAGGACGGAAGGGAGGAAAAAAGGAAGGGAGGAATTGAGAAAGGGAGAAAGAAAAGAGATAAATAAAGGAAAAACGAGAGAAAGAAAGAAAGAAAAGAAAGATTTCTTAAATATAGAAGAAGCGAAGGGATAGCATGTGTGAGCATGTTCAAAGACCTGGGAGCCAGGGAAAGCAGTTCTGCTTAATTCAAGAAGAGATTATATATTCGAGTGGCTTTAGAAAATGGGGCAGGGCAAATTTCAGGAGTTTTCGAACATATTAAGATTTAATTTGGGAAGTGTGGTGTGTTACTGTAACTACTGTAGGCTTTTGAAGGGAATATTAGCATAATTCAAATAAATCAAGTGGAAAGGGAAACGTGAAAGTCAAAGGCATCAACCCAATGGGAAAAACCAAACCATACAGCAAGATATTAAATAAAGGCTTAAGGATTAAAGAATATGTATGACCTTAAAATAGAAAGGCAGGTTATTGCCTGTGTTTCTTCTATGTTAATATTGAAGGAAATGGGCTTAGAACTCAGATCAAGAATTTCCTTCTCTCACTGTGTAGCTTTTTTCATTCTTCAGCTGTTCCTCTTTTCTGTCACTGCTTTACTAAAATTGAACTTCAGTCCTTACTATTTTAGCATCAAGCCAAAAATATGTTCATAAATACAGTACCTGGAGGTAGAATCAAATATAACTTTAAGGGGCAACTGTTGGTACAAACAAACTTTGGATTTAAGAGTCCTGGAGTTGTTCTTGCACCTCTATTTTAGAATAGCTTCAAAAATTCTTAGAGCTGTAAAAGAATTTAGGGACCAACTAATACTAATCCAACCCACTCATTTTACAGATAAGGATATTTGAGCTGTATTAATGTTTCTTTTATCATACAAAAGTTGTTATGAATGAAATATACTTTGCAGGTGGATTTTAATTTAACTAAACGTTTTATTGTCAGCCTCTTCATTAAGCTAGCACAATGAAGATGCATAATGAGTTAGGTACACCAAAACAGATATGCTACCACATATCACTGCTTTCTGCCCTGAACACTTTGAATACATTAAAGACATTGGCTCTCTACATGGCAGGCATAATAAATTTTCTCCCCTAAAACCTGTAAGATAACCTAGTGTTAAATATTGTTAATCGGTATTTTTAACTGATTAACTGATCTTGGATGAGTAATTAAATGTACATCTCACAGATTTTAGAATTCATTATTTCATGAACATAGAGGAGGAGGGTGAATGCTAAGCTTTCACTACATGTATGTAAGACTCATTTGTAAATAAATGAACATGCTATTGTGTTAAGGAAAGATGTTTCACACAACTTTTTGGTGACTCCTTTGGTTAGCTTAATAATAAAGTCCTTATACACAAGAGCAGATAAAAAGTAAACCAATGTATTGCTTTGTGTATCACAGATATAGCCCACACAAAATGTCGCTTTTATAATATAGGCCCTGTCTTTAAAATGAATTTGATAAATAAATAGTATAAATAAATGAACCACCACATTCGAAGTGTCTATTACGAGTCAAATGTTTAACAAATCAGCTTTTTGGGAGGCTTATGCCTACTTAATGAGAATGAATAATATCTTGTATCATCTCAACATGAGCCTCCATTGGAATCCTTTTTGTCTCCTGAATATATAAGCATAAATTAGGACCTTTGCATTGCCTTGCTCAGGGTCCCTCTGTGATCTGATTGTGATGATTCTTGGAATTTGCATCGAGGTGAATCTTTACCTATTGAGCACATAGCAGGTGCCAATTGCCAGGCTGACCAATCAACTCAGTGTTGCCCTTAATAGCTAGCTCTTCAAGGGTCAGCTTCTTGGAAAGAGAGTCTCCAGTCCAAGGATACAGCATATTTAGACACCAAAAGAGAAGCTGATGTTACTCCACATGTGATCTAAGGCAGAGTGTCAGTTATTCATCATGTGTCATGCAAGATGGAGGAAAAATAGAAGTTGTTTATTATGGCTATGACTTTGATTACTATGATTAATTTAAAAATATTATCTCTGCCTAAGGCCATTTCCCTGGTATTTTATCTTATTATTCTAATAAAGAAAATGAATTTCTTATGAATAATATTTACTATCCAAATCTGATCCATTACTTCAAGTTATCCATAGTTAGGGTGAAGATTAAATCAGGAAAGATTAGCAGATATTTTACAAATATTTTACAAACCACAATGATACCCCTTTTAGAGATCATTAACTGCCAACATCTAGGTTACACACATTCATTCTTGAATGAGAACACGTACCATACAGTTCTTTTATTCTTATATTAATTAAAAAGAAAAAAAATTTAAAGCTGACTTTAAAAACATTCTACTCAGGAGCCATTTCAAATGACGAGAAACGCCAAAGGAAAAAAAATCTCAAGTAGGCAACATGTAAAACAACACACAACTATATGCACATTAGTATAATTACACATTGCAAATTATATCGGATGTATCTAATATCTAATTTTTTGAAAGCTGATTCCACTTGAGATTTCAATAACAGCATCAACATTTTGCAGGTGGCTCCTTCTGTATGGTATCCAAAGGGAATTATTCCTCTAATGTGCTTACAATCCTCAAGAAAAAGCTGAAGCTCTCCCTTAAAGGACAAATGAACAATGAACATTGGGACTATTACCTTGATAGATAAAGAGGGGGGTGGGAGAGATCCGCCAAATATAATATTCCGCATGGTAATTTATTGTTCCTTCTGTGTGTAGTATGCTTATTTGCTTCAAGCAATAAGAAACAAACTTAAACACAAGCCTCATCATAAACTGTGGAAGGGACTTCATATATATTCCGAGGTAATGATATGAAAAGCTAAGGGGCTGACAATTTTTTAGATGATTTTATAGATCAACTGATAATAGAGAAATGTGCAAGTGAATGGCAGATTATATCTTTGATTGAAGAGAGTTCTACATTAAATTCCGTTCTTATAAAACATATGATTAATTTGCCCTAAAGAGGATACCAGATCAAAGCTCCATTTTGAAGAATAGGCTTTTGTTCTTATCTTTTGGTTTGAATCAACCAATCATCAAATAACCAAATATATATTTGTGATCCTGGAAAATGGAGCACATTATTCAAGTTGATTGGATCCATTTTCTTGATTCTTCCATAAAGATCTTTCTGCTAATTAGTCAGGGTTACTATAGAATTATTTAATTATCTGCACTTTTGTGCAATGAAATATGTTGTCATATCACATACTTTATCATGCTGTTGCTGTTCACACTTAATGATGCCTCCATAGTTAGCAGTTTCCTTTGTTCTGCTCAGTAAGTGGTTTTAGAAAGAGGGTGGGCCAGGAAGGAGCCCGGGGTTTGTAAAATAAAATCATGCATTCCTGGTGCTCATGCAAAACTTTATGTATTTACATGAATTCCTTTTTGGAAATTAAGTTGCAATTCCATTTGGAATAAGCTAAGAGGCACATGCGGTGACTTCGAATGCAGCCAAAGGGATATGACTACACCTTGAACATCTCTCCGGTGTATTTCCACAGCAGTGCAATGGTAAAATGACAATTTAATTTTTTTTTAATCAGCAAGGAATGTCTTTAACAAGGAAGAAGTATATTATGATAATTACTCCGAATGGTCGCATCTTTGAGCTTTACTAATTAGCATTTATTGCCTGGATTATAGAACAATACATGTGAAACCAAACTGCGATTGCTCTTTTGCGTTAAAAAACTGAAAAAGGCAGTGGAACAAAAAGGCAGTATCATCAGTAGTTGAGTCAGTAGTTTACATCTCCTTGGCAGTGTGCAGAATTACACACTTTTGAAATATACAAATGTGGTGCTCAATATATTTGACCCATTCATTTTTTTTTGTTGTTGTTAGGTACATATCTACATATGATATCATAGTCATGGGAGACTAATGAGAGGAGAAACGTTTTTGTTATGATGTCATTTGAGAACAATTTTATTCATCATGGCAGTTTAAGAATAAAGAGCATAAAACCCATAGTTTCATAAAAATATGAATTTTTCTGTGGAAATATTTACTTAAAAATGAAACAAAAGACTCAGTTCTTAGGGAATAAAATTTTACATTCACCTCCCCACTTTCTCTTAGGAGGACTACAGTTGAAAATAATTGAGAAAAGGCAATTTGTTTCTTGCTTAAAAGCCTTTTTTCATTAGGCATTTGTAATAAAACAAATTCTGAAATTAGAAAAAAATAGATATTAATCAACAGATCAACATCAGTCACGTAAATAAATGCCACTCTTATAATCTGGCAACTAAAATTCCTAAATAACCTGGTAGGTAGAGAGAAAGAGAGGAAAAATTAACCATTCATCATTCTTGCTGCAGTCTCACCATTTTCCCCACACCTCATTACAGCAAATGAAGAGAAAAGAACGTCATAAAATAGAAAGCCAGAACCAAATACAGTCACTAGTCTTTCTAATACCTTTATGGATTCCCTACCCTGATCCCTTTTAGTTTGAAAGAATAAGTTTGAGTAAATCTGTGAGGAGATTAAACAGGCTGGTGATAAAAATTAATTCTGCTGAATGAGCAAGTGCATTTGGATCGCAGAGATGCAAATAAGATAATACTTTTCTTTTCCTTTGACATACCAAGCGGATTAGTTTAGAATGCTAAATTTGATTTTATTAGAATATATTAGCAGTGTTTTAATTAATACCAATCAAACATTTTCTTTCCCTGGGGCTTGATGTGTTCTTAATGCTTTCTAAATCATCTGTCTCTTATCCATCAGCTGCCCCCAGCACCACCAAATTGCCAAAGCCTTTGTTACATTCTTCATAATTTTATTGTATTCAACAGAAAACTATGAGCTGTGTCCCTAAAGGTGTCTTGCCCATAAAATTAGTTCCCAGGTGCTGGATTTAAAATGAGCACTTTTCATTAGTACAGTTGTTTTTTTAAAAATAGGATTAGAGTCTCAAAAATAAACATCTTCTGTGTTTTTTTTTTGGTGAAAAATGCTGCAAAAGGAGTTTTGGCTGGTTCGTATAACTTGGCTTTATTCTCTCTAGAGCTTCTAGAGCTGTTAAATTTCCAATAGCATTGGTTTTGAGCTGGTACTTCTTAGGAAACAGAGGCAAAAAAAAGGAATAAAAAAAGAAGAGGGTGGGGGAATCTAGTTAAAAATACTGTGAACCAGTATGCCCTGTGAACTGAATTGTAACTGTGTGTTCCAAGGAGGTGCTGCATTGCATTTCACTCATTATCCCCTCCTTTTCTCTCAGCTTCCTGTCCTTCTGTGTCCAAAAGCTCCAGTTCACTTCTTTCTCTTTTCTTCCCGCAATAGCCCCCCTCCAAATTCCCCGCCTTATTTTTTTTTTTTTTATCTGCCAAGCTGGATTTGCACTTTTAAAGATCAGTATCAATAATGCCCTGCTTGTTTCGGTTGCACTCTCCCTTTAAAAGACAGCCCCCTCTAATTGATGCGTCTGGGCTAGTCTAGACTGGTAGTGATTGAACCAACCACCAATTATGTTATTCATTTCACTGAACTTCACTGATGGGCTTGGTGAAGAAGGGGTGTTGAGAAACCTACCCTAACACTGAAGCAGTTCCCTGCTGAAATATAAAATCTTGTGTTGTTATGCACTTCTAAATGCCTGTGTGATCCAAAAGCAACCTCAGAACATGAAAAATTTACTTGAAAACATGTAAAAACCCAGAAGAATGCTTTGGAATACAAACTGTACCACTTGTATTAAATTTCTCTCCTGTTATAACTTAAAATCACAGAAGAATTATATCTAACATGTTTTTATTGACCCATGAATATTTTCAAAAAATTAACTGCAGATATTTTTGACTCGAAAAGTACCAAATGTTTTACAAATATTTGATATAAATCATAAAATAATATATATCCATAAGTTAAATAGATGCCTTTCCATAATTTTCAAATACCTATGCATACACATCAGCTAAGATGGGGAAAAATCATTAATCCTGTCTATAAACATCAAAAGATGACTAGAAAAGCAAATAATTCTTTTCTTTGAAGTACGTTCAGACTATCAAAGGCTGGAAAGTAATATTTAAATACTATAACTATACAAGAGGTTTCAACAAAAGGTATAGTGCAATTGTTGCACAGTTCATCTGCTCAATTCAGTTTTCTGATACAAAATGGTTTCTTGACTATGATTTGGAATCAATGACTAAAATTGCAATGGACACTTAAAAAAAACAGGGAAATAAGTCTCCTTAACTTTAGACTACATGCAAAAAACTAAATTACAACCAATATAAAGTCTTTAAATGAAGAAAGCATTTGCATTTAAAGTCGGGACCAATTTAGGTATTTTCCAAAAATAAAAGACAAATGTTGACCCAAGAATACTAAAATTATTTAAACGAAATTGTATATTGGAATTTTTCACAACAAAGGAAAGGCAAATTAATGTTTCTTTTCTCCAACTATGAGACAGATCTAAATCAGTGAAATTATTATCACAAAAAGTTAAATTTTCAGAAAACTACAAACTATGCAATGCTAACGGTGACCTTAAGAGAAGATAATTTTAAATATATAGTTTGGTGTTATAAATAACTACGGTGGATTAAATTTAAATACTGATGAATGTTTTTTTTTTCCAATTTTTAAATGAAGGATAATAGGCATAGATTACTCCTAAAGGATACAATATAGTGTGTATGTTGTTATATCTTTCTTTTTCTATATGTATATAATATGTATACATAATGTATTTCCAATCCCTCTTACTTTTAAACTCATCTTGTATAGTATTTTAAAATAGATGCCAAGCAAAGAGGATATATCTTTCCTTTTATTTTATTTTATTTTATTTTTTAAGATATTGAAATACAAATTTAGTCTTTATTAATGCCATAAACTCCATCCTTCATATAGCATAGCAAGAGTAGAATTTTTAGCCTATTGATTTTTTAGCCAAAACTACCGGTTGACCGCATCTGTGTCTGTGTGTTCGCTGTCTACCATATATGATACACATGTATGCGCACTGAATATATAGTAAGTCCACATGCCTATTTTAATCAGGCATAATTTTAAGATTAACCGTTGAGTTTAAAAGTTGGAGGCATGAGGCATGCTGGGACTTCTGCTGATAACGTTCTGAGGTCAAGCACCAGGTACTGAGCTGTTCTTGTTACGCTCGGATAGTACTGCGTGTTGCTCTCAAGGAACAGACCATGGTAGATGAGTTCCATAAGCCTCAAGCATCAATAATATGCATGCACACACATAGCAGCCAACACGCTATTATAACAGAATATATGCCTAGTTTAACAGAAACCCAAGAGCTGCCACTTTCTGGTCACCTGATCTCATCTAACAATGAAAACCTCAGATATGCACTCAATCACTTCAGACCAACTTTCTTTTCTTTTGTTTTTCCTTTAAAGAAAAAAGTTCCACCAAATTTCCAGGATGCTAAAGCACTACTCGCAGCTCCCAAGAGCCTAACCCGTGGATTTAAACGGTAAACATCACAAGTTAGGGTCTCAGGGATTGAGAGGAGCGCAACAAATTGTTCTTTCTTGAGACAAAACAAAGCAAAATAAGAATGACAAGCAATTCTGTTCGAGCTTCATGACTGAAGGCAACAAACAGGTGGCAGGATATTTACCCCTCGTTCTTCCAGCGCCCTTAGTTTGCAAAATTTAGATTCCACTTAAATGGAATACATACATACACATATAAGCAATATCTGTGGGCGCATATACATACCTGGACATACAATCGCGAGTATACCAGAGAAAACTCTTTGAAGCTTTGGGCAAAATTGCTTACTAAAATAGAAAATAATATAAATAGGCTCAGAAATGCCCATGTTTTTAAGACCATGGTCTACAATAAGGATTAAGTGTCTCTTCAAAGCTTTAATTTACAACTAGCACAACTAGACTATAAAAAAATATATAAGGAATCTCTTTCTCTCTGGACAAGCATGCCACATGCAAAATCATAGAGATCGGATTTTTAGAAGGAGAAGACCAAGAGGTAGGATATGGAGGTTGTGAGAGTAAAAATACGAATAGCGTTTTTAAACTCACCCATTGGAAGTGGAGCAGGGCTGCAGCCTCTTGTCGCACCATTCGGAGCAAGGGGGGAAATGTGAGCTCTCAGTGCGCTAGCCTGGGAGAGGTGTTTCAATAGAGGACGGAGAACTGGGCGGGGAGGGGGAGGCGGGGGCAGAAGCGATACACCAAATCTAGAGACTGTAACTCTGTAGTTTATGCTTTGACGAGAAAGAAAAAAAAAAAAAAAAAGCTATTTTGGTGGGAGTAGAGGAAGGGGCTGGGACTGATCAAATTTTGAAAATACTCAGTTAAAATTTTTTTGAAAATTAGAGAATTAGAAATCTTCCCAGAGCTGCCTTAAATAAACATGTTCTTCTTTTTTTTTTCTTTCGCGTGCACTTCGCCAGTCGTGCAAACAGGGCCTCCTGTGCATCAGCTGCTTGGCTGCAGCCAAGGCCAAGTCACCGGAGCCAGCACCAGGCTGTCATTTGGTAGACTCAAAGTGGAAAGGGTGGGTGCAAGCTGGGGAGACACAGCTCCCCCGCCCCACTCCTGCCGCGGACTCTTTGAAGCATTTTGACAATATTTCGGCAGAATCTGAAGCATATTTCCCCTCCATCTTCGCAGACAGCTTTTGATTCTGTACCTGAAAGCAGTTTTTCCCCATTTGCCTGAAAGCTGAGCTCTCCTATGCGAAGTTGGCTCCTCTGCCGCCTCCAAAAATGAAACGAAAGGGAGGGTAAGTGAGTGGGAGGATGACTCTTTAATTTTTTTCCTTCCCCTTTTCTTTCCTTCCTTCCTTCCTTCCTTCCTTCCTTCCTTCCTTCCTTCCTTC